GCGGCGGCGCGGGGAGCCGGGGCCTGCGGGGCTGCGTCCCGCCCGGGAGCTCGGGGCCGCTCCGGCTTTGCAGTGTGCAGGCCCAGCGCGGTGCCGCGTGGCCGAGTTCCAGCTTCGGGGGAGGAGCGTCCTGGGGCTTGAGCCCGGGGCTTTGTACCGAGCTGCAGCTACGGCCTTTTTTACTTGTATTTTGAGACGGGAGCTGCCCTACTTTAGTTGCCAACCTGGGTTTGAATTGGCCGACCTCCTCCTGCCTCAGCCTCCTGGATCGCTGAGATTACAGGCATGGACCCCCACAGCCCGCTTGATTTCCAGGTGTTTGTGACCCCGTGCAGGCTTATCTCCTAGTTCCTCCTCCGTGAAATGGACTTATTTATGCTGAGCACGGCCGGCACTCACATTTCTGTACCTCGCAGGCGGCGCTGAGTGCTCACTAGATGGCAGGAGGGACTTACCAGCGTCCGAATGCCACAGAAAGGAAAGGACAGTGACACGGGCCTGTTCTCTGGCTGGACGGATTAGGACGATGGTCTTTTTCTTAAATTCTGAGCAGCCATTAGGGACGAGCCATAAACGGTCACCGAATTCGGAGAAGGATTTCTTACTCTTCGGCCTGGGGGCGCTGTCCCCAGGCGGGAGCATTCGGTTGGGCGGGAGGCAGAACCTTGGAGTCTCAGCCCTTTCTCTGGGTGCGGACTGAGCTCAGCACTGAAGGCTGAGGGGAGAGGAAGGACGCCAGGTTCCAGGCCTTGCGGGGGAGGGTTCTGGACTCTGCACATCCGGGCACCTAGCCACAGTTAGGCTTCCTGACTCCTCTGGCCAGCTAAGAGCGCCAGACCGATCCTCAGGTTAGCGGGTAGGGAGGCCGGATGGGCAGACGAGAGAGGCAGCCTGGGCCGTGATTTGGGAGGGGGTTGGCAGGGCTGCCTGAGGACAGCAGCAGCAGGGACGCTGAAGAGAGGGCCCACCACCGAGCTCTGCTTCCTGGGAGCGCTGCGCTACAGGGCGGTGGTCCCCGACCTGCAGCCTGTGGAGCGCTGGGCAGTGGCTTCCTCGCCCTGACCCATCCCCTGCCTGAGTCTCTGGGCCCTGTCCACCTGGCTGCCTCCGGCCTGCCCCGCATTGCCCAGGACTTGGCTGGTGACTGGAGGCTGCTGGCTGCGAACGCACCAGACTTTCCGCTTCTTTGCAGGCCTTAAGGTTGGCTTCCACTTGGCGCGCCCAGGCCTCCAGCTGCTGGTGTGACCAGAGAGTGGGACTTGCTGTCTTAATCAGAGAAGCTGCTCAGTAAGCCCTGACTCCACTTGGTGGGGGAGATGGAGACGTTAAAACCTGAGACCAAAAAGAGGGTCCTTCCCTCGTGGATGACAGCCCAGGTGGCCGAGAAGAGGACGGTGTGCGCGAAGACCCCCAAGAGGAGGAGGACAGCGGAGCCGGCGAGGGCAGCGAGGTGGGACCAGCTCTGGCCAGGACACTTAGGAAAGGCCGGGAGGGCCCTCCGAGTGGTGCCCACTGAGACGGGCCGTGTGCCCTTGAACTCTTCCGCGGTGAGAGGCGTCCCCTGCAGACAGGCACCCTGTGCCTCTGCCGAGGCCAGCACCCTCATCGCAGACCGTGGGTTCTGCAGTTGGCCAAGCGCTCAGGTGCCAGAGGTCCAAAATGCCAATTCTCACTTGCAACAAAACCTGACCTCAAGTGGGCGGATCAGTGGACCAGGCACCAGCCAGAGCTTGGGAGGGAAGTGGAGCTGGGCAGGAAGTCCCAAGCTGTGGGGGGGTTTGGGTGGTAACTGGGGGCAGGAGGGTCTTGGGCTGCAGCTTTGAGTGGGAGGGGGCGTCCCTGCTGCTGTCCTGGGTGGGGTCCAGGCCCCCAGCACCTCCTTGGGCTCTTCCTGTTCTGTAGTGCAGGTCTGTGGAGGGTCGGGTCTCAGCCTGCTGGCCTGTATCTGCTCTGGTCCCCTGTGTGTGTTCCATGGGTGACTCTCAGGAGCCAGCTGTCCGTCATCCCCTGGACCTAGATCCAAGTGGAGGGCGGGAAACCCTGTGCCTTTCAGAGGCGCAGCAGTGCTGTCTTTGGCCAGAGGGCTGGGGATCCAGCCCTTCTGTTCTCATTTTCTTTCTCGTGAGACCTGACACCCTCTGCCCGCGTCTGTCCGTGGCTTTGTGTCTTCCAGACACCTTGCAGTGAAGACCGTGTACTGTATGAATGAGGCCGAGATGGTGGACGTGGCCCTGGGGATCCTGCTTGAGGTAAAGTCACTGGGTCGCTTCTTCACGAGAGTGGCTGAAGCTTCCCGGGGAGAACCAGCCAAGGCCTGTGGTCGCGGTCACAAGAGTGGCGCCTCAGGCTGCCTAGGGCCTCGCGCCAGGTCAGCCCACGCCTTCAGCAGCCCCTGCCTGCTCTCCCAGCCCTGCTGCCCTGAGCATCTCCTTCCAGGGGGTGTACTGCGCCCTGGTGTGACCCTTCAGGGCCGGGGCCGGGGCCGGGGCAGGGAGTGCGTGTGAGGAGCAGCGTGCACTGTGTTTGGGGTGACTGTGTATCCTGGTGTTGGGGGGGCACAGGAAGTGTTCCCTGTTGTGTTCTCAGAACGGGTCCTGCTGGGGGAGATGCTGTCTCCCTAGCAGAAGACTGAGTTTCCTCACTTCCTGAGGTGTAGTAATTGAGCCACGTCGGGGTTGTGTAGTACTCCATAGTTTCCCAGATGCTTGCATGCAGCCTGTTATCTCGTGGACCCTCACAGGGGCCCTGTGGTGTGGTAATACACAACCCCTAGTCCCAAGGAACTGTGGCACTCGGACTCGTCTTTGCTCTGCAAGGGACCTTGGGGCCCGGCAGGCTTTGTAGTCTGGGCCCCCTCCATTCTCCCTCTGCCTTTCCAGACACTTGTGCGCATTGCTTTCTTTTCTTTGCACTCAACCGTTCCTCCCCCGTCTGGCTGTGATTGGGTCCTGGGTCCCGATTTCTTCATGAGCCTGAGGGGTTTGTGTAGGGTGAGGAGAGGGTGTTGATGGTGGCTGGGAGGAGTACCTGGCCCGGTTACCCACCGGCTTTATGGTGGCTTTAGATGTGTCCCGTGTCACTGACAGACAAGCCAGGACTTGAGCTTGTGCACTGAACCTGCCTTTTCTACCACTCCACAGGGCCACACGTGGGAGAAGCCCCGGGCAGAGCCGGCTGTGGGGCGCGCTGAGAAGGCCGAGCCCTGCCCCGCCAACCCCCGGTCTCACACGAGTTCTGGTGGTGGCAGCGGGGATGAGGACAGTGGGAACGACAGGCTGGCTCCGAACCTCAGCCCTTCCCAGAGGCCTGGGACATCCACCTCCGCCTGCAGCGGGAACCATGAGCGGGAGGAGGAGGAGGAGGAGGATGTGTTCAGATATGTCAGGGAGATATTTTTCAGCTAAGGATGAGCTGCCCGCTGGGCTTCCTGCGGAGTGAAGCTGGGCTCAGCTGGGGCTGCTGCCCTGCACCTCGCTGAGTCATCTTAGCTCGGAAGCCCTATTGCTCTGGGCCTGGGGACTCCCGCACGGTGCCGGCTCCGGGCTTAACGAGTCTGACAGGCATTTGTTAAGTTACCAGCTTCCAGGGAAAATGAGGCCACGGGGTTCAGCTTACCAGAACCAAAGACAGCCTGGTACTTTTCAGGGAAGAGCAAGGCTGCAAGGCAGCCTGGGATGTGTGGGCTTTACTTAGCACAGTCTCAGGGGAGGCCTCGTCCCCAGGCAGTCTGTCGGGAGCACCAGGCCCTGCCTGCAGACAGGGAGCTGGACAGGCCTCCCCGAGCTGCCACCGTCTTCCTGTGAAGTGGGACGGGACAGGAGCGCAGAAGCCAGAGCACAGACAAAAGACCATGCCAGAGCCCACTTTTCTGTCTGTGTTCAGTGCGGCTTTTGATAGGTACAGAATAAGGAAGTCATTCTAATATGTAGATGCTGAAAAATACACAAAATCCCCCATCACGTGAGTTGTTACGCTTCTGTCCTTTTGGTTCCGGGTGGAGAAGTGAGGGAACCATTCAGTCCTGTTCCGTTTTCCTACCCAAGGATTGGGACATCGTCTCCCGAACTCCTGGGTTACATCGTGATAGTGGTTGCCGGCTGACCTCTGTGCAATTTGCTTCCAGCCCAGCGACCTTCTCAGGGGACCCTTCAAAGCCACAGAGGCGTCGCTTCGTGCCCCATGCGTTTCTGTGTTGGATCCCTCCACAGTCATTCTTGGGCCTTTGGGAGTGGCCCACACGTCCACTCGGCACAGAGCAGGGGTGGGTACTTGCTGGCCAGGGCCTGGAGATGCTAAGATGCGATCAGCATGGTCCCCTTTGTTGCCCTTTACTTTCCCTGGGCTCTGGTTTGGTGACCTGGCAGGTCAGCCTGGAAATCTACCCCATGACACACTCCTCCTCTCTCCCCAATCCTGAGTTCAGAGCAGAAATTTCCCAGGTGGGTTAATTAAAGCAAGAATCCATGTGACAGTGCGCTGCGTGGATTCAGGGTCTCGGGAGGACACAGTCCTACACTAAGAAGCTGTGGGTGCCTCACCACCCTGACCGGTCTGTTCCTTGGCCCTGGACCCCACGTGCTGGAGCCTGAGGGCAGCGTTAGCTATGAAACATGTCTGGGAGGAAGGTGCCTCTCCGGCACCTGCTGGGATGCTGGACGAACCCCTGCAGTCGTCTCTGCCCGTAGATAGGATTAGCAGGCCTCAAGCTTGCTCTTGTCCACCTTGGTCCTCGGATGGAACACAACCATGGCCCTGAGCAGCAGGATGAGTAAGGCCTGGGCCAGGAGCAGAGCTAGAAAGCCAGGCCCCAGGAGGGAGAGCCTGGCCCACTTCCATACGTAGGAGAGGAGGAGGCCCAGGCCGCCAGCCAGCATCATGGAGGACATGGCCAGGAACACCACCGCCAGCTGCCGCTCGCCCTCGTTGCCGTTGCACTGGGCGAGGACGAGGGGCAGCGGGACAAAGAGTGTGAGCACAAGGGCACCATAGGCGCCAAGCCTGGCCAGGGCCAGGCCCACCCGAGGCACCCCCAGGGCCTCCAGCTCCGGGAACTGGTGACACTGCAGGGAGCTGATGTTCTTGTCCCACAGGCAGAAGTTGTAGAAGCCGATTCTGAGGTTGGGCAGCTCCGTGAGGTTGCCGGCCTTCCAGAGGAGCGCGTAGAACAGCAGGGCGAGGACCACAGCCACGAGGGTCATTATCCCCGCGAAGGGCAGGTGCTCACCCCGCCACGCCTTGGAGGCGGCCATCTCTGTCCTGTCCTTTGCGGGGACCTGCGGGGAAGTCGCATCAGTGAGTTTCCAGCTTTCCCTCTTCCCCAGCTGCTGCTCCCCGCACCCATTTCCTGGGGCCACATTCAAAAAGCCAAGGCAGCCTCGCCCTACCCTGCCCCCACCTCACTGCCTGCAGCCAGGACGGCTTGAGTCCCAAGTGAGGGCCCTGGGCAAAAGGCCAAGCATAGCCGCATTCGGAGCATCTGAGGGCATTTCTCAGAGCATCACTGCCGGGGTGAGGGGGAAGACTCCCTGTTGGGGGGTGCCTGAAGGTGGAAGAAAGTGCTGCAGACCTGGTGGGACCATGGCCCTCACCCCAGCTACCATGACCACCTCCAGAGCGGCAGAAGGTGCTCCTGGGGGCCACCTGTCAGTCAGGTCCGGCCCGTCCTGGGCGGCGCCACTGTGTTTGCAAAGCTCTGCGGTTCAGTGGATTCTGAACCTGGGCTGGGCCCACTGCCAAATTGTCACCTGGTTCTCTCTGGGAGTGATTATGGGGCAGACAGGTTGTCACCTGGGAAGTCACCCTGAGAAGTAGCACTCATTTCTTTTTAAATGTCTACATTTTTTCCCTGATAGTAATTCTGATTAATGTACAGTGCGAGAGATTTTTAAATTGGGCGCGCGCCTGCAACTCCAGCGGCTCAGGATGCTGAGGCAGTAGGATAGAGGGTTCAAGGCCAGCCGGGGAATTTAGTGAGCGATGTTTCAACATAAAAAGGGCTGGAAGTGTAGCTCAGTGGTCTTGTCTAGTGTGTGGGAGGCCCTGGGTTCCATCCTCAGAGCTGTTAAATAAAGAAGAGCCTTTTCTCTGACCATGCACAGAGAGCCACTGCGAATATTCCCCCAATATTTTTCTTACGTGCTGCTATATTTTCACATAATCATAGTATTGAACAGAAGGCTGTTTTCACTGGATATTGGGAACATTTTCCCAAAGCTGTTAAATATTCTTCAAAAGCTTGGTTGGCACTTGCGTAATGTTCTGTGTCATGGCCACTGCGCTATTTGCTGACAGGTCGGTTCCTTTTTCCACCCTGGCCGTAGGGAAGCAGCCTGCCTGTCTGGAATGAGACTGTTGCATGGGCCGCATCTCTAAAATCACAGTCGCTAGGTCGAGGGCAGTGTGAACTTGCTCGCTGCAGACCTTCTAGGGATATATCAAAGTGCCTGTTTCTTACGCTCATTTAAAAAAATCTTTACTTTTTTTTTTTTTTTACACAGAAGGGTTTTTCTCAAATGGGCCTCTGAAATGGTAGTGTGCACACTGGCTTTCTCTCTGTGTGTTTTCCGGTAGGAATGAAACAGCCACTCCCATGGGGGTAGCAAGGAGCCCGAGCTCCAGCCTTGTGAGACACAGGCACCGGGCTGGAGACACCAAGTGAGCCTCGGCCTGGGACGTCAGGTGGGGCTCCGTAGTGATGTGAAGTGTGGCCTTTGGTGGTCCCCACCCGCGGACCAGCTTCTCCGGGACTCTTCACGACAGCCCTGCTTTCCCATAGCTGCCTGGAGGGCCGGCCTGACTCCTGACTGTACATTTGTGTTTTGGGACAGACAGGGACCAAATGGAAAAGAGAGAGAGGGGAGGAAGAGAGGGAGGGAGAGACAGAGACAGAGCATTCACAGGCCCGAATCTGTGCCAGCCACGAGAACAGAGACTTCTCAGCAGCCTTGCGGAGGCATGGGCGCGGTGGCTGGCGGTGAGCAGGGCCGTCAGGACCTCGAGGTCCCGGGATGTGTGGCCGATGCCTGGCCCTGCGGTGGCTCCTCCAGCCTGAGAAGCTCGGTGGGGACACAGACATGGAAGCAGGGGTGTCCTCCCTTCTTTCTGGAAGCATTTTTACAGGGACAGCACTTGCGGCAAGCCTTGGTGCTGCCCCTTGGGGGCATTTTCTGGGCAAAGGCTTTGAGGCCCAAGAGGCAGAAGACCCTTGTTAGAAAGGAGTTTGGAGACCCTTAAAGCAACGACCCTTGCTGCAGAAGCATCTATCAAGTCTAAAAAGTGCCTTAGTTACTTGTTACTAGACTGATGCAATGACAAGTTTTAACCAATGTAGCCCACGGTATGGACAAAGTCCTGACTATTTTGTATGATTTTACAATTTAAACAAATTTTGTAAATGCCTATGCTTGCATTTTTAATGATTTGGGCATTTTAGGATGTGGCCCGGATTGCTGGAGTGGAAACCCCAGCCCCCCTGTGCTTTGGGAAATACCCACTGGGGTGGATGTTGGGGTGCTTGTTTAAGGGATCCCTCTGTTTATCCTGTTTGAATCCTGTTACAGAGCTCAACTTTTAAAAAGTGACCATGGGCTCCCAGGAGGTGAGATTTCATCAGCCGCCTCCTGCTGCGGCTCCTGGTGGCATGACCTTTTGGAGGTTTTGAATGGACAGAAGTAAAATAAATTAGGGCCAAGGCGTGCAGGATGAGGCTTGTGGAGAGAGGACAGTCTCGGTTTCCCATTTTCTGTCTGCGCACAGAATTGCGTCTCAGCCCCTATGCCTGGAACTTGATCCTCTCCACCCTCTGGTGCCCTGAGACCGTGGATCCGCAGCCATCTGCCAAGGCCCAGCGCCTCTGTCCCAAGCCTGCTCTGCAGGGTGCAGCCTGGCCGCCTCCCGGGGAGATGCAGACAGACTCCAGCAACCTGGGTGAGGAGAGATGGAGATGAATCCTCCCTTCTTTCTGGAAGCATTTTTACAGGGACAGTATTTGACATTTGGTTGGAAATCTTGCCCGGATGTGGTGGTGCACGCCTGGAATCCCAGCGCTCAGGAGGCTGAGGTGGTAAATGACATCTACCACCACCGGCAGTGCACAGTGCGCCTTCCACAGCGGGAGGTTCAAAGTCCCGGGAGGATCACCATGGATTCGAGACCAGCCTGGGCTACACAGTGAGTCCAAGGCCAACCTGAGCTACATAGCAAGAATCTGTCCCAAAAAATAACTAAAATAAAATAAAATAAAATGGAAATCTCACAACTCGCTGTCCTAAGAACCTGCCCTGGGTTTTGTTGTCATTGTTGCTGTTTTTTGAGGCAGGGTTTCAGCATGCGGTTCAGGTTGGCCTTGAACTCACTTTGTAGCCCAGGCTGGCCGGCAGTGCTAGGATTACAGGCATGCGCCACCACGCCCAGCTGGGTCTGGTTTTTAAACAATCCCTGCAATCACGTGCTCACTGCAGTCAGCTTTTTCATTCCCTTTAATGATAATCCTGGCTTCCTGCAAAGGGCAGAGGGGAGACCTCTGAGTCACTGTGGCCATTTTTAGATGAATGTTTTCCTGTTTATAATAAATACATGCTGACTGCAGGCAACTAGAAAAATATGTGAAGAAAGGACTTTTACAGAAAAGACTAAACATCATCTACAACTTTTAGTCATAGAAATAACTATTGCAGTACATTTCCTTCTATAATGTTGTTTTAGATATCTACTGTTTCCCCCCAGATAAGGCCTAGCGAGAAAATAATCGGCCTCAAAAACTAGAGGTGAAAAATGCCAGCCAGCAGCCTATCCCTGCCTCACCCGCCTTACAGAGCAGCCACCAAGCAAGAGGACAGCGATGGCCGGTGAGGCGGGGACAGGCTGATAGCTGGCATTTTTGAGCTCTAGAGTTTTCAAGACTGGTTATTTTCTACTGGGTCTTATTTTCAGGAAAAGAGGGTAATTGGGATCACGTAAATGTGTTTGCACTTTACTTTGTGAACATCATCGTAGCATAAACATTTCTCTAAGCCATTAGAAATGTTTCCTAAATATTTAAAGGCTTCCTATGGCTGCATCATAGTTTAAAGTTTTGATAGATTATGTTTTTGTTTGTTTGTTTGTTTTTGCGATAGGGTCTTGCTATGTAGCACAGGCTGGCTTGAACTGGCTTATGTAGCCCCGGCTGGCCTCAAACTCACAGTGATCCTCCTCCTGCCTCAGCCTCCCAAGTGCTAGGATTACAGGTGTGCACCACCATGCCTGGCCTTAGATTATGTTTTATAACACTGTTTCATCATATTATAAATAGTGCTACAGCACATATGTTTGTGAGTCAATTCACCCTTCCACTAGCAGTTAGAGAGAATGACTGTCTCTCTTTTTACCCCGCTGCTTTTCTTTTAGAGACAGAGTCTGATTGTGTTGCCCAAGCTGGCCTTAAACTCCTGGGCTCAGCCATCCTCCTGCCTCAGTGTCCAGGACAGCTGGGACTTCAGGCCTGTGACGTTTTACTTGAAGATGTGCAAAGGATAAGGTAGCTTGTCCTCTGTAACACTGCATTTTCCTAAGTCTTTTGGTGTCAACTGATGAGCATTGCTGTTTTTTCCTTTCAGAGTCAGCAGTTTAACATTTTCAGGTGACTGACAACAATCTAGGTCTCTTCCCTTGTGAAATGCTATCTGCTCTTTTTTTCTTTTCTTTAAAAAAACCCCTTTTTGAGTTTTAGCTTCTGTCAGTGTGCATCCTTTAAATGCAGGCCGCGTAATTGTCACAGTAAAGCAGAATTCTCTTGCTGCATGGGGCCCCTGGCCCACAACAGAGGGGAGATTCTAGGTCCTTGTGTGGGTTGGGCCACGGTCACTGCCAGCTGTGGGGTGACGCGGCCTGAGGAGGGAGCAGATCCTCAGACACTGTCAGAGGCAGCCTTCTGCTCGCTGGATTGTTTAAGCCTCTTGTTAGGGTGATCATCCTAATAAAAGATGCTGGGATGGTGGGTGAACCTGGCACACAGTGTCACTGAATTCTAAATTATATTCTTCTCAGGTTCACATTAAGCGTGAGTCTTCCCTGGGGGCGTGGCTGGGGGGCAGTTAGGGTCCAGCGCGTTAAACACCCCTCTGGCCAGCTGCGGGCGGCTCTCGGGGCATCTCGGGCCTGTGCACCTGGACACCAGACTGAGATGCAGTGAGTGAATCACAGTCCTGGTTCTGTCCTGGCTCTGGCTGTGACCGCGCCTGCCCGGGCGGGGCCCCGGGAAGGGCTGCTCGCTTGCTTAAGACACCCAGACACCCTTCACTTGAGGTGAAGACTCAAGATGACATTTACCAGCACCCGCAGTGCACGGTGCGCCTTCCATAGCGGGAGGTTCAAAGTCCCAGTTTCCAGCCTCAGGCACAGCTGAATCTTCTTCCCTTCATGCTAAAATGTCTATTAGCTAAACATTATATAACTCTGTTGATCATACACTTACCTATAACTTGTATTTGTGTACGTGTGTGTGACAGACTGAGGCTTGAACCTAGACCTTTGCACTAAGCAAAGCTGTTAAATCGCGCAGGCTGGGCTTGAACTTGCATTCCTCCCGTCTTAGTCTCCTGGAATGCTAGGATTGGAAGCATCTGTCACCATGCCCAGCTGTAACTTCGAATTTGTCACTCACCTAATCAGGTCTTTAGGTAATATAGTATCATTCTAATATTTAGGATCCCAATAGACTCTTTCCTGTACTTCATCTTATATAAAAACAAACCAAATCCCTCTCCTTCTGTTTCCTTCTTCTGATTCACTCTGACCTGAATATTGAACGGTATGCAGGAAGCAGACTTTATTAAGCTGGGCTTGCTTGTTTTCCCCGCATATACCTGAGCTCACCAGCTCTACGCCTCTGTCCCTATATTGTCCCCAGGGCTTCACCTCCTCTCCCTAGCACGGAGCACCCTGCAAAGCCCTCCAACAGTTTTCCCCGGGAGTGGAAATCCCATGCGCTCAGCTAAGGGCTCCATGAACCCTCAGCGTCCCAGCAGAGAGGAATGGAGCGCGCAGAGAATGTCTCCTCGCTCTGCAGCAGGGAACCAGGAAGGGTTGCTGCTTCCCAGGCCCCTTCTCCGGGACAACATCAGCAGCTCTCCTGCTTCCTTAGGGTACTCAGCTTCTACCCCAATGGCTTCTCCTGTGCTTTCCCCAAATCACACGTAAGCTCAGGACCTTGGTTGGTACTTGCCATTCCCTTCACCTGGAAGACTTTGTATGAGTCACCTATCCCCTTCCCTCACCTCTTTCCGGTCCGTCCCGTCACTCTGAGTCTTGTGGCTTTGGGTCTGTTATGTCACACTCTGTGATGCACCGCCTGTCACGTTCTGTTGTGAGACTGACACATATTAGTATCTGCAAAACTGGGCCACGCTGAGTATTACACATCCGCCCTGGTCACGATGACGAAGCAGTGATTTAGGGGAGAACAAAGGAACCAAGGCAGAAATGACAGACATGGGGTAGGTGTGTGGCTCAAACGGAGGGAGCCGCTCAGGGAAGAAAAGAAGCAGGACGAAGTCAGAACAATAGGCTCTGATGGGGAGCCGGGAGAAATGTTTGTCAGTGGAGGCCAGCAGCCCTGGCTTCAGTCTTTCTGGCTGCGCACGTTTAAGATTAAGTGTATTCATGGTGTGGGTGTGGCTGTCACAAAAATAAAAAGGGAAGAAGAAAGGGAAATGTGTCACATTTCCTTTGGCCGCAGTGCCTCTGGGATGTGCGAGGTGGCGGCCCTGCCCACCACCAGGCTTTTATGGACACTGCAGTGCTAGTTCCACTTAAGTCTCCCATGCAAATACAGACAGCTTTAGCAGCAGAAACAGGACAACACCGCGAGATCGGGACCTAAAGACAGAAGCGTGAGTTTAGGCCCCCATGTGGACGCGGGCCATTGAAACAGCCGCTTAAATGGTCCCATTAATACTGACGTGCCACCTGTTCAATTGTTTGGCTGTTTATTAGTGTTTCTTTCTCTAGCAGATAACTTAACCTGAGGAAAAAGGTGACAAGAAACTGCAAGGGATAAAAAATACTCTCTAGAATTGAGACGCTGTCTGTAAACCAGGAGCTGCTGCCTTGTTTGGGTTTTATTGGCGCCCTGCACCGTGCAGGTTCCGGGAGGCTGAGATTCACCAGGCCCAAAGCAGCCGGAGGATCAGCAGTGCTAGAGACTGGTGTTGCTTCTAATCCAGCCCTCTCCCACGGTTCTGGAGACTCGCCTTCCTCTTCCACTGCGGAGGCCAGAGTCTCCCTTGTCACCCCCCCAGTGGCCCATTTGGGGGGAATCTTTTGAACCAGGGGCCCTGAGTTAGCCAGAGACACCCTGGGCAAAGAGGCACCACCCTGACTACGCTGGTGCGCTCCTTAGGAGCTGGACACCAAACACATTTTTTAAAAGATAATTATGAATGTTGAAAAGCTTTGGAAAGGAAGTAAACATTGGAGCAAGGAAGGGAAACTGGCAAGAAAAAGTAATGATTCCAGATGAAAGGGCCAGGGAAGATCTCTTTGCAAAAAGACATTTGGTTTGAGCCTATAGGAGTTTCTCTTTAACAATGGTCGAGCAATTGATGAGTTTAATTGAAAAAGGTGAAAAACAAAACAAAAACCATCTTAGGTCCTCATCTCACTCCACATACTGAAATAATTTCACAGGGTCTCAAGAACCAGCATAAAAAAATCTAGAAAAAGTTAACATTTGGTTCAAGAATGAGAAAGAATATTTTGAGTTTAAGAGCAAATAAAAATTGTACAGATTTCACTGCTTAAAAATATAGATTTCTATACTCACACAAAACACAAATGAAAAGTCACTGAGCCTGGAAAATACATACAACAAATATTAAATGACTAATAATATGTGTAAAATGTTCATGCAAACAGTTGAAGCATTAAACTTCATTAAAAATAGGCCAGAAAATTAAGAAAAGAAAGAATGCATAATAAAAAAAAGAAAAGAAAGAATGTGAAGTGGTTATCCAGCCATGAAAAACAATTCATACTTTTCTGAATGCACACAAAGACATGCCAAGTCATAAAACTGATGTGTTTCCTTATCAACTGTGCACAAACACACTTGATGATACCAAGAGTGGCAAAACTGGATTTCTCACAATGATTGAAATTTTTGTAAATTCTCTGGGAGGCACTTTGGCACAATACATTAAATACTCATCCCCCCAATAATCCTATCTTTTTGCCTTAGTAATCTCACTTTTATGAATTTATCCTTAGGCAGCAATCAGAAATGAAATTAACAACTTATATATAGCAATGTTCATCACAGCGTTATTTTGGCAAAAAGTGGTAAACAAGCAGAATTTCCAATCTGAGAAGTAAATGATGACACATTAAGATGATGAAGCACCTTGCAGCTTTTCAGAAAAGCAGGCAGAAAATTGTACTGTAATATGAATGCATCTATATAAAAATGCATAGAAAAAAGAGACTAAAGAATTATTTAAAATGTGATGCTGCCTGCGGCATTTATGGGTGATGGCATTATAAGCCATTGTTCTTTTTCTTCTCTTTTTTCATTAAAATATTCCCAGAATTATGTGCTATGGCTATGAAAAAGTGACATTTATAAAACAGACATTCGCAATCTCTGTGACTAGATAAAGCAGGGACCAAGATGGAAAGAAAGCTGAGAAAAGAGAAAATGTCTCAAACTGAAAGAAGAGTATCATACCAATTAAATCTCAGAAATGGGATTTTTGGGGGGATGAGGATATAAGAAGATGATACTGAAATGTACTTTGATTGTCCTAAAGCAAGCAAGAAAGAAATATACCTTTCCCCCTTACACAATGCATACCTTGATTTTTACAGGTGAAAAAGCGTAATGGAAGTTATTAAACTGCTAGTGGAACACCCCACATTTTAAAAAGTCTTTTTAAGATCTGCACCAAGAGAACTAAAATCCCACCGCGAGTTTCCATCAGGGCATGAGAAGCAATATCCTCCAAAGCAGGCTCTAAGAATCTCTTAGAGCCTGTTGTATTGTTTGAATCAAGACCGCAGATCCCTTTGACAGTCTTCAGGGTACACCAGAAGGTCTGACAATGTTTTTGTAACTATCAGTCATAGTTCCGCCATTGCTGGTCAGTGACCTGCTTTTGTCCAGCTGTGTATTTCGATGGACGTTGTGTTCCCAAAGCCACACACATTTATTTGTACCGACTCTGCAAGACTTTGCTGCACACAGTTAGTGTGTGTGTTTCTAGTTGATTCTACGGGTGTTACCTTCCTCGTTTTGGAGGCAGAGAGCCACTCGGTAATGCTGAAGAGTGGAGGGAAGGGGAGCAGAAGACAGTGGGTCGATCACACAGAGAAGAGACAGGGAGGAAGGGCACACACCCAGCACCCATTTTCTCCCTTGTGCCCATTGCTAGAATGCAAACTCCCTAGAACAGCACTGTCTTAGCAGGCGGAGGGCACGTGGGCCAGATGAGCCACCTGGAGGAGAGGTACTTACAAAAACAAGGTGCAGAGCCCACAGCAACACTCATGGAAAGGTGCAGCAGGCAGTCAGGTCTGCGCCGTGAGTTGTGCTTCCCGCTGGCTCTCTCAGGTCAGGCTCCAGTAAGGAGGGCAGCAGAGAGGAACCCCAGCAGACGAGCTCCTGGTGTCCTGCTTGCATTTGCAGTTGCGTCTGAGTAAATAGCCCTCTGAGCTTTGGTACATTTGTGCTGATGTCACTATCAGCTGATTTTACTTTCGTTTCTTAAGTTGCCCGGGACTTTTCAGAACTGAAGAATGTAAACAACTTCTTGCGCCCCAGAATAGTCTACCCACAAGGGCCAGCTGATCTGGAGCCAAATGAGGGTCTTGGTTATGTCACACAGTGGCTCTGGAAAGGAGAGTAGAGGCAGAACTCGCACAGCTCCCAGGGATTTAAATTCCCAGCTAAAAACAGCCTGGACTGTCACACAGCAGGGACCTTCCAGACCTGGCCCACAGGCTCAGCAGAGCAGCAGAGGCGGGGGTTGGGGGCAGGTCATTTCCTACTCATTCCACTGGGGAGCAGCTAGCCCCGTTCCAATTCTAGTTCACCTTTTCAGAAATGAGCTTTGTAAGCTGGGAGTGGTGGCTCACACCTGTAATAATCCCAGCACTCTGAGAGGCTGAGGCAAGAGGATCTCAAATTTAAACCCAGCCTAAGCATTTGAAAGACTTAGTGAAGCCTTGTTTTGAAATAAAAAAATAAAAGGTTGGGCATGTAGATTAGTACAAAGGTCCTGGGTTCAATACCCAGTGCCGACAAAAAAATTAAAAACAAAACAAAACCAGAAACAAAAACCAGCTTTGTAACGATGACTGGCTTCTCTGGACATAAAACTCTGTCTTCTTAGCATTCTCACTAGGTTGTTGAGATCCGTATTGTAGCAGCTGGAACATGGATTTCACTTCAAAACGGGAGCAGAACAATGCTTTTAGTTTGCGATCAGAAGAACCTGTCAACTGAACAAAGTTCAGCGTCAGCGATCTGCCTTAAAGATCCCGTTGACCGTTTGACCTTGGCTGGCTAAAACTCACATGGTGGACAGATAAGACTATTAGGTCGAGAGCCAAAATTATCTTGGTTTGTTTTGGGTTCTTTAATGACTACTTACCTTAACTTTTGTATCTGACCTAATGTTCTAGACACTGTCAGGGGAACCTCTTGCTACCTATCTCCAGGCCTGGCTGACCTCAACCTCCACCGACTTTAAAGCTAAAAATGCAACCACATCTGAAAAATGGCAGAAAACTCTCCCTGACCCGCCTCTGAGCACCTGCACCAGCGTAACTGGTAAATGTACTGATTCCTGACTTTCTGTTCTGCCACTATAAAAGCTCATGTAACCTCTTCCATGGGGCAACATGATGTTCAGGGTCATTTGAATCCGTGTTCTCTGGCCATGGTCACTCATGTTTAACTCAGGATAAACTATTTTCTCATCTCTTGTAGAGCAGAGCCATTATTTTATGTTGACAGACTCCTGGCCAGAGTTTAAAAATCACTTTCTTTGCCAAATGCTTCAGGTTCCTCTTCTTTTCCCCTTGACCCCCTACACAAGGCCAGAATCTCACTTCACCACCACCCTGGGATCCCCTTTGCCCCTGTGCTAGGTTAGATCTCCTATTTCCTTTATCACAGGCTCTTCTTTCTTCTTTTTTTCTTTCTTTCTTTCTTTCTTCTGTTCTTTTTTTCTTTCTTTTTTTCTTTCTTTCTTTCTTTCTTTCTTTCTTTCTTTCTTTCTTTCTTTCTCTTTCTTTCTCTTTCTTTCCTTTTCTTTCTCCTCCCTCCCTCTCTCCCTCCCTTCCTTCCTTCCTTCTTTTCTTTCTTCCTTTCTCTTTCTCTTTTTTTTTTGGTACCAGGAATCAAACTCAGGATGCTCTTGCCAGGCAGGCACTGTGCTGCTGAGCTACATCCCTCGCCCTTCTTCCTTGATTTATTCAACTTTGGTGGAGTAAGAGTCCCGAGAAATGGGCACATCAAAGTTAATTTTTTGAGAACTTGCAAAACTAAAATTCCCTTTATTCTACTCTCAAAATCGATCAAAGCAGGACACGTGTTTTGGGGTGAACACAACTTTCCTTTATAACTGTGAGGGCCTTGTTCTGTTCCATGTCCCTTTCCTGTTACTGTGGAAGAGTTTAAAGTCATCCTGCTGATTGGCTCCCACGATAGCCTCCTCTATTATGGTCATCCTGTCAGCTTCTTGCCTTAAAAAAGTTCTTTGAGGAGGTTTTGAGAGAGGGCGAGAGAAATTAATGTGTATCCAAGAGGCCACTTTTAACTGTAACTCTGAAACATTTCTGTTACTCTTTGTCTTTCCCTTTCTTTCCCTTTCATTTTCACCGCCCATGAGCTTGCTTAGGTAATCCAGCTGGCCTGCGGTTGAGCTTGTTGCATTTGTCAAGCTACTGACTTCCTTTGAAGTGCTTACCACCCAAACCTCCACGGTAGGGGCAGCCCTGAACTTGTGCACGTGCTGTCCCAGACAACCCTGTTTATGTGGGAGGCTTCAGAGCGCCCTGTTTTGTGGCAGCCTCCTCTGCAGGGAAAGTGTCTGAGCTACTGGCCAGGACGTCCGGTTCTGCTCTCACAGTGACATAGCTGCTTTCTGGGTCCCGTGCCTGGCGAGGCTGTGACCAATTCTCACAGGGGACCCTGGCCCTGTGAAGGAGGTGAGGCAGAGGTAACAGGGCTGCTCTCTTCTGCTGAACCTGGGGAGGAAGGTACCTTGGCCTGTGGTTAGGGGGAGGAAGTGGGGTCCCCGACCTCCTCCTGACTGCACTTACTTGAAATTTAGCCTCTGCAACTCAGAGTTGGTGGCCTCTCCTGCCCAGGGCGAAGACATTACCCTGGAGGGGGACCTGGGAGGACTGCCCTCTCCTCTCTCTTAGCGGAGTTTTCTCCCATTGAACTGGGGTGAAGCGAGGGAGTGGCTTGCGGTTTAAGGGCCTCAAACCCCTCCTTAGTGTTTACCAGAATATAGTGAGTGTTCTTAAATGAATAGCTCTTCATTTGATGTAGGTGTTTAGAACAGTTTTTGGACTTTAAATTGGTTTTTCTAAAAAGTATGATTTGATTAGTTTTGTTTTTTTTCATTAAAGAGTAGGTGAGGAACCTGCTATTCTCTTTTTTTTTTTTTTTGATATTGGGAATCGAACTCATGACCTTGAGCTTGCCAGGCAGGCGCTGTGCCGCTGAGCTATATCCCGGGCCTTGAACCTGCTATTCTAGAACTGGATTGCTGTTCATTTATTAATTTTTGTTTTTCTTAAAATTAAAGACTTCATTTTTTAGAATAGTTGTAGGTTCATAGCAAAATTGAGAGGAAAGCATGAAGATTTCCCATCTAACCCCTATCTATTTAGGTTTGCATTTTAAGTGAAAGTCTATGGTCCCGTTTGAGTGGGTGAATTATTCATGTATTTATTTACTGGTGAAGGGTATAAGGTCGGTGTGGATTTGCCTTTTTGCATATGGATATTCATTTGTTCCACTGCCATTTGTCAAAAGGACTGCTGATAAATTCCACTGTATTGCCTTCACTCTTTGTCAAGGATCAGTTTTTTTTTTTTTTTTTAATGCAGTTCAGGCTGTCCTTGAGCTCACTTTGTAGCCCAGGCTGGTCTCGAACTCACAACGATCCTCCTGCCTCAGCCTCCCGAGTGCTGGAATTACAGGTGTGCGCCACCATGCCTGGCTGTCAAGGATCAGTTGATTGTATTTATGTGGGTCGTCTTCTGGCTTTCTGTTTCACTGATCTGTTTTTCTATTCTTTGCTACTACCATACTCTGTTGATTACTGTAGCTTTATAAGAAGTCTTGAAGTTGGGTACTGTCAATCCTCTTTTTCTTTTCTTTCAATATTGTGTTAGCTATTTGGGTAAAATATAAAATTTAAAATCAGCTTGTTAAAGGCCACAGAATGATTTGATGGGATTTTGATTGGGATTGATCTATAATTCAAGTTGGGAAGAGCTGATATCTTGACAAATTGAGCCTTCCTATTTATGCATATGAACTGTCTCTGTTTATTTACTTTTTCTTCTGATAGAGGTTTATAGTTTGCCATATAAAAGGTCTTGACATCTTGTTAGATTTACACCAAGTATTCTTTTTTTTGGTGCTAATGCCACTGACATACCCACTTCAAACTCCAGTTGCTCATCGGTGGTACTGTATGTGAGACAGCAACTTACTACGATACGTTAACTGCTAGTTTTCCACTGCTGTGGCAAGTGCCTGAGAAGATCAACTTAGGAGAAGAAAACATTTATTTTGGCTCATGATTTTGGAGGCTGTAGTCCATGGTCTCTTATCCCTGTTGCCTTTGGGCCTGTGGGGATGCAGAACATTGTGGTGGGGAGTGCTCACTTCACAGCAACCAGGAAGGAAGACAGGTGAAGGGGGTCAGGTCCCAGTACCCCCCAAGGGCACACTCCAGTGACCCAACTTTCTTCCCTCAGTACTCTACTACTAGAGTTTCCACCACCTTCCAATAGTGCCTTCCCGAAGACCAAGCTTTAACAATGGCCCCTGGGGAGATATTAAGACCTCAACCATGGTCTGAACTTTGTGCCTCAAGATCTTGTATCATCACCCGCCACTTCCAGAAAGCTTTGCTGCTCTTTGGGATTTTCTACATAGACAAGTGTGTTATCTATGAACAAACGCAGCTATATGTTTTCCTTCGCAAGCTGTGTATCTTTTATTTCCTTGTCTGATTGAATTAGTTAAGACTCCCAGTCTGATGTTGAACAGGAGTGGTGAGAGTGGACATCCTGATCTCTGTGTTCATTTTAGCAAGAATCATAATTTTCTTTTATATTTGTAAAATCAACTTGAGATTTCTCTTCACTCCTCGTTTGATGTGACTTTGTCTTACTATGAAAGGGATAGGCTTTTGCCAAATACAATTGCTGCACTATGGATGCAGATCTCTCTTCTGTTGATGTAATAGATTACACTGATTTATGAAAATTTTTTTGAGACTGGATCTCGCTATGTAGTTCAGGCTGGCGTTGAACTCACTATGTAGCCCAGGCTGGCCCGGACCTCACGGTGATCCTCCTGCATCAGCCTTCCTGATGCTGGGATTACAGGTGTTCTCCACCACACCTTGCTTGATATATGAATTTTGAACTAACCTTGCCTAAGTAGAATAAATCTTACTTGGTTATTATGTTGGTTTGGGGGATATTTTTTGCAAGGGAAACTATATATTACAGGACACATATTTTATAAGATTATTTATAATAGTCACCCAAAGAATGATATACAAGAGAGTGCAGGAAATCTGTCCACACAACATAGACCAAGAATCTACCTAAGGGTCTGGATCCTGTGATAGTGTCCTGCATGAGTTCAACTTAAGACG